AATTAATTTTATTTATAAAACGTATTTTCATAATACGTTTTAAAGTAAAAACGTAATTCGAGAATACGTTTTACAATGTAAAACGTATTCCCAGAATACGCCTGTTTGATTTTGGTCCACTCGTTTTTTTTTGTTTTAATTTTGTCCAGTTATTTTTTTTATTTTTGATTTAAATAAATAATTCAAGAGAAATAACATTAGCCGATTATAGTACATTAATATTATATTTATTACTTCCACTATTTTTTTTTCTAAATAAAACATAAGGAAGTCCTGTTTCAGAACAAATCCGTCGAGATCTGTAGTCGTTAGATCATCATGTAATCGTCGTTGATAGTTGATCTAACAGTTACATATCTCAACGAAATGATTCCGTTACGAGACCGTAAAATCTCTCTAAAACATATAAGTAAATCTACATGCATTAAATTCAACCAAACAACCATTTGAACTATCAAACAACCATCAATCTCAATTGCACAAGTGTAGCCTAGAACCGACTACGCTAATGCATCCACATACAACAACTATAACTACATAAGTGTAGCCTAGAACCAACTAGCTAACGCACGCACAATACAACAATTATACAACCCAAAAGCTGAAAAGACAACTCAAAAGCCTAGTCAACCGCATTTTCCGTTCCATTTCAATCTTTATGTCCTGTACATCCGCTCCGTACAAGAAAACGAAGATAACACACACACACACACTAAAAGAAAAAATGGCATACGGTTATTTTTTCTCATTCTGCAGCATGAACATAAAAATTCCACCAGCCACAGAAACATTGAGAGACTCGAACTCCCCCTCCATTTGAATGGTCACGAGCTCGCAAGCCCTCAGACTAACTTCAGAAAGGCCGCCACCTTCATTGCCCAGGACCAGGCACAAAGGCGAATCCGCTAATGAATGCGCAAAATCTTGGGAGAGCCTGATAACGGGACTCGGGTCGTTGTTGGTTGTTGAATGGCCCGCTAACATTCTCATCCCAAAAGCCTGTCTAAGGGTTTGGAAGTGGGTCCAGTCACCGGAAACTATTGGGATCTGAAAGCAGGCCCCTCGGCAGGCCCGCAGGGCTTTGTCATTGAATGGGTCACAGCACCCTGGAAGCAGAAAGACTCCGTCCTGTGGAGTTCAATTAGATTTATGATGTAATAAAGAAACCAAAAAGTGCGAAAAAAAAAAAATGTAAATACATTCACATTTAGAATTGAAAAGATATGGACGGAACACGAACACCTGATGATGGTTTTAAAGAATTTCTAAGGCCACTTTAATGGATGATGTAGTTCATGAGAAAGAGTAAAAAATAACACAGAGAAGAACACAAACGTGTTTTCAGAAAATACAAAAGAATTAAAAACAGAAAGCATGAACCTTGTAGATGATTGCCTATAAATTTACGTCCCATTTAACAGAAAAGCTAAAACTATTTACCGGATTGAAATACAAAGCATGACGAAAAAAAAAAGAAAAAAAGGTTTTAAGTGAAAGTGACTGCCCTTACCCATCTAAATGCAGTAGCAGTTCTGATCAGTGTGCCAAGGTTGCCAGGATCCTGCCATACGAAGTCACATGAGTTCAACAGACACTCGAAATTCAGATTAGCTATATTTGTTTCACATTCATGAGCAAATTAAATGTCATAGCTTGAACTTCCAAATGTTCAGGAACGAGTACAGCGTGTACATTGTATAAAAAATTTGAAGGCATACCTGGATCCTATCAAGAACTAGAACACGATGGGGGGATGAAAACAATGAACGACAATCCTCTTCATGCAAGCTATTGGTAACCGCGTGATATGTTGATGGAGTTCCCATTAATGCAAAGACTTCAACAGAATCAACACACTGAAGACCTGAAACTTTTCTTATCACCTCTGAATTAACTCGGATCACACGAACAGAATCAACATCCATTTCTTCAGGGATACAAAAGTTGTCTAGCACGAACAAGCAATCTATTATAGGTCCATTTGAGACTGCTTTATGGAACCTGAATATTTCCCTGAAAAAGGTAAACTAACGACGGTGAGTGTCAACACAGTCTGAGAGGAGAGACAAATTGGACAAGAAGATAAAAGCTTGAAATGATTTGAAAGATACGGGCAACAGCTATTCAAATGATGATACACTGAATAATGTCCCAATTTTATCTTCAATCATGTCCAGGTCCAGCACAGTCCAAAAGCTTTTGAGTAATGTGTTGCAATAAAGTATCCAGAGAAGCATTAGTTCAATCAAACTTACCAATAAAAATGAGAAGGGGTGTCATCTAAACAGACTACAATGCAAACGATCCTAATCATAATGATGAAACTCACCATGGTTTCAGATTAGACGCTTTTTCATAGGCGTATCAACTATTCTTGATATACATATTATTCAAACAGTTTTGATTGGAGGAAAACGGAAACCGTTCAATAGCTATTCCTTTTCTCCTAATAATAAATCTTAAGGCCAATGTTCCAACATTCTCCCCCAATTACGGACCTGAGCGGCAACGCCGGCATGTTCGCCGTATAACTAATGAGCCTCTTCACAATTATGGTTAACAAGAGCATTACAACAAAATAGAACCAAACTTTAGCGAAAAGTTCAGGTTTTTTCTAAGTGGAACCTTTTAACAAACACATGTATGCATCATTAGCTCACATGGCACAAAGCACCACACACAGCACAATCCCCCACCAAAAGAACATCACCGGAATCTTTACTCGTGAGATTGAAGAGAACAACAACATATTTCGACGAAAATCTTAAAGAAAAGAAAAAAAGCAGCAAATTAAAGTTACACAATTATGGTTGTGCCGACAACAAGAACTGAGCCGTGAACATGGCGATAGGAGGAGCTCTGGCGAAGCTTGACGCAATGTTTCACGAATGGGTTTGACGTGCTCGTAATGACACTCACTTTCGGAGGTAAAGTCATCGTCTTCGACCTTGACGCGATTTTAACCTTATCTTCGTCGCAGGTTTCTGCTCTGTAATGAATTCTGCTCCTCGGCCGAGGCCGCGAATTTGATGACTCGTCGGTGCGAGGAAATGGAGTTGTTGGGATGATATATCTGTGCAGACATTGCATTTTTGTAGGCAAATTCTTTGAGTTGGTTTGCTTCTTACAGAACGTTGTATTGCCCAGGTAAAACCGCTGAAACTCTATTCTCGACGTTTGTGAACACACCATTACCAATGACTTGCACAATTTTTAGGCATTGTTTGGTTGGAGGGAATAAGAGGGGAGGGAAAGGGAGGTGAGGGAAACTTAAAATTTTCCTCCGTTTGGTTCAATATTTTGTGGGAGGGAAAGGGATGAGATTTTCCCCTCAAATTCACTGTCGACGAAAATCTGCTCCCCTCCAATTTTGGGGGAATTTGGAGGGGAAGGAAAAGAATGTGTGTGATGGTACTAATTTACCCCTCAATTCATATCTTATAAATATAATATTACATAATAAATAAGGGTATATTTGTCCATATAATTTTATTTTCCCTCCCCCTTCATCTCCAAACCAAACAAGGTTAATCATTTTCCTCCACCTCCCCTCCTACAAAATACCTCCAAACAAAGTAAAATTACTTTTCCTCCTTTTCCCTCCCCTCCCCTCCCTTCCATTAAATTCCCTCCCCTCCCCTCCTATCCTTTGAACCAAACATAGGCTTAAGGTCATTTATATATTTTTATAATTATATAAATAAATAAAAAAAATGTATGGGATATATATAGTACGTGACTTGTAATAGGCCAAAATGTGAACACAGGTGATGCATGGGGTGCACAATTTTAAGGTCATTTATTAGTATGGAGTCCGTGCGATGCACGAGGTGCACAATTTTCTAGTATGTGTAATAAAATACATACCATATACACGGGACATAAGCACTAAATGAGTCATTTCCACAGAGCTTGCCCGTTAAGTAGCTCCTGAACACGGGTGCACAATTTGTAGTACGTACCATAAAATCAGAAAAGATTTTCATACAATTAGATAATAAATTAGATAATAAATAAAGCCTTTTTATTATAGTAAAGATTTTACGTATTTTGTTTTTTTACTTATCGGATGTTATGGGATTTTTTTTGTTAAACTGATTTTATGGAATATAATACAAATATAATTAGAGGATTGAACAAAATCAGAACAGATTTTCATACAATTAGATAATAAAAAAAGAATTAGATAAGAAAAAGAAGGAATTAGATAAGGAATTTTGAATCTGACTTTTTTTTTGGATAGATACGTACAAATTTTGACTTCACTGATTTTATGGGATTTATTTTGACAAAATCGATGTTAATATGGAATAAGACAAATAAACAAAGTCTTTTTATTTTAGTAAAGATTTTACGTCTTTTTTTTTACTTGTCAGATGTTATGAGATTTTTTTTTAAACTGATTTTATGGGATATAAGACAAATAAATAAAATAATTAAATAAAATTCTGGATAGAAATAGCAATGCATTAATTACGTTGCCTTTTCAATCTACTAAATTTGGTAAATAGGATACTTTATATAATAAGTATAGATACAAATAAATAACATGCCAAAATTTTAAAGAATAATTAATGTATTTTAATTTATTATCTAGTCATCAGTAATATCATTTAATGATGTGACCATTATCTCTTAAATGATAAATAAAATATTAATTTAAAAAAAATATTTGTTTTTTATATACTCAAATAAAAATTAAAAAATACTATCGACAAATATGAATTATAATATATATCAGTAAAATCATTGCAGAAGTTAATAAAATTATTTAAGGAAAGAATCTTTTTGATCATATTTGAATAGGAAATGTATATATGCAAGCAATTAATGCATATAATAAAAAATTTCTAAATAAAGTATGCATTAAATGTGAGTTGACTTTTTTGGCTACTAATTTTGGTAAATAATATGGCTTTTAATATAAGTATAGATAACATTTTTTTTTGTTATTTCGGATAACTACAAATAAAACTCAATTGTTTTGTGTTTATTCCTTTCGGAATTATAAAGATTTTGAAGATTTTTTTAAAATTTATGAAACTCGAGTGTATTTAAATAAGACTTTTTAAGATTTTATAAAATTTTGAAGTATTCAATTAATATTTTGAATGATTTTTTGAAAGTCTCTAAAAATATGTAACTTGGACCCATAATATCAAGAGATATTCATTTCCTTTTCAATAATTTTTGATTTGTCGTTTATTTGGGATTTAGAGAAATTCTAGTGAGAAAGTGTGTATATGAAATCCCATTATAAATTCCACATAGATTTTGAGAGAGTTTACGAGAGAGGGGACGATTTCTCTTACGAGGGAACGGTCTTCTCATACTTTGCTCTTGAATTCTTCTAAAAGGTACCAACATATATATGATCTTTTGACGATATATGTTTTATAAGCATCTCTATGGCCGACCTGAACGATTACCCTTTTTTTCGCTTTACGTTAAGAAGATTGTCAATTATTAGATTTTGTTTGTATGACAATTGTGATTATGTTTATGTCTGTGGAGATGCCAAGGGTATGACACGCTCTGTCCACCGTACTCTTCACACTATTGTGCAAGAGCAATTTGTGTAGTAATTATTTTCTTCTATACACACATGCACATAATATCCCTACATCTATTGTAAAAATATCACCATCGACTTTGAGAAGCTTCCAGATGAGTGGAGAAAAAGTTTATATATTAATTAATCTTGCCACGTAGCCTAGATGTTTATCCACCGACATATATACTAAAATCATCCTTGGCAACTATAAATATATGTAGCAAGTGAGTTGTGTGTGTGTGTGTTGTGGTTGTGAGTGATCAAAATAAAATAAAAGAGTGAGGTGCTTGTGTGTGTTGGACGAGAGTGAGAGAAAAGTGAGTTGACAGAGTGAATTTCCTTGAATTCTATTGTAAGTTGAGTGATATATAATAATAATAAAATTCATTTGTCGGGTTAGTCTTGAGTTTATTGGCAAATTTATTTTCAACATCTATATCGTGTTGTTTTTTGCATTTGTTCTTCATAATTACCCTTTAAACTAGAATGATATGTTCGAGGTTATTTGTAATATTGAAGTGTGCTTTTTTTTTTTT